CGCACAGGCAGACACGTACGATTAGGCATGCATGCACGCATCGCAAGGCTTACGGGAGATGCATTGTAATTCGTCGCAATGACTGCACATCCTGGTGTACTAGCCTTTGCAACAGGTGCGCGTCACTAAGCGCGATTACCTGCGTGTCAACGACAGTTAAAGCTCGTGTGTGCACTGGATGTAACAGTATTTATCTGTACGCTCGCCACGGTACGTACGTACGTATGTGATGCGTTAACGGCGTCTCTTTCAAACCAACATTTTTTTCTTATCGATGTAACGCAGGCTCGTAATGTTTGCATTGAGGATTTGTCTGCTTCGAGCAAAATTACCGAATTATCTTAAAACTGTAAAAATTGGGATTTAGCTTTAATTTGATGTTTCAACGAATAAAGTTGATTTAATTTCTGAAATAATTTGGAGAAACTTTAGTATGAAAATGTTAAGACTGTAATATTTTAAATATTGATAAGCAATTAGATAACAAGCTACTTCGATAATTTTAATCCTTTCGTCATGTTGAATTTAATATTATATATTCCACGCACACGGCGACAGTGCGAGATCCTCTTTTGGTGCGACTAGTCGCTAAGTAGAATGAGCGTGCGTCGCACTGCAATCGCATAAAATGTGCGCCGTCGGGCTTGATCCAGAATGACGCTGCGACGAAAAAACGACTGACTCGAAACTCATTAAAATTCTAGTGCCGCGCGATTAGTGGACGAATGACTAAAGAATTTAAGATAAAGCTACATATGCGTGATGCGTGCTAACTGAAATTATTGCGCCGTTAAAAAAGAAACAGATATGTGTTGTATATCCGCATATTACCGAGTTAAATTTCGAAAAAAAAAAATTAAACTAAATACATTATATCATTAAATATTAGTGTTTAAAATTGTTGGAATATTTTTTTTAACGTATTAGATACATGTGTAGTGTGTAGGAGCAAAGAATGTAAAGTTTAATAATAATTTGACAAAGATTTGTGTGGTTTTAATCAGCCTTCGATTATCACTTTGAGGAATGCGAAGAGTTCCGTATTTTTCGTAGTGAATTTCTAGTCAGTCACGTCCTTCTAGTCCCCACCATTCCTTCACCTTCACGGCAAGATTCTAGTACTAATACAGTACATACTAATACAATCGCCTTGGCCGTCGTAGAGACTGTAGAGATCACTGACAGCGGATTTATGCTTTTGCGCTACGTTATGCAATTTTCGCGTGAAACCGAAGGTTCCCACTCTAACGGACGCAACGGGAAAAAGAACTCTGTTTAATATATATGCTAAATATAATCTACAAAACTCATTAATATTGGCGATGAAAGAAACCTGTCATTTTAAGACTGTGGCCATGAATTCATAAGAAATACGTTCAAGATCGTGCAATAAAGACAATCATGTCGCGCGTAAATAAATTTTACTTATTAAATATATATATATATATATATATATATATATATATATATATATATATATCAAAATGGAAATAACTTTACAAATATATATAAAAGAACAAGTTACGATAAATAGTTATCGTCTAATTTCTGCTGAGAAAAAAAAAACAGCGCAAGATAATTATTCAAATCGTGCAATATTAACAGAATTTTGGAAAATTCTGCAATTCTGGAAAATTAAATTTCACAAAAATTGAAAAGTTGATTTTACATATATTTTTATGTACAAATTAATACTAATGAATTTTTCGTTAAAATTTTGTTAAATTTGTTCGCAACTATAAATTTCAAAATTTTTAGTAAAAGCAAGTCAAATTTGTGTTATACTCCTTTAACATACGTTAACATATGTATAGGATCGCTATAGGAATTTTAGAAAATCTTTGGGAAAAAAATGTTATTTTTGCTTGATGTGATACCCGATGCATCGCTTTAGTGTGTATTCAAGTCTTTTCTTCGGTAGGCATTAAAGTCACCAGTCTGGTGGACAGAACATACACACGTGTCGGCATATTTATTATCTGACCATAGTGTGAGCGCAGGAAACGTTATACGAATAGTGCGGCGTATCTTTACGATCTTGCATAGATACGTCAGTGCGGATTCCGTTGGCTCGTCAATGCGGAAAATTCAAATAAAAATATGTACAATCGCACGAAGAGATTTTTACATAACGTCGCAATTTCCCAGACAGAATACACGCGTGGATCTTCCTCGTCAAGGATAACGACGACGTTCATTAGCGCGACAAACGCCTACTTGACTTTAAATCTCATTCGATATACATACAACGTTAAGGGCTCCAAGTGATGTGATATATATTTAATGAGTCAATTTATAGGCGAGTCATTAAATTCGGGGAACGATAAATCACTTAATTGGATTGTCGGTGCACTAATTGAGCGCACGAACGGCTGCATCGGTCACGCCGTGAAAAAAATTATCGTGATAAATGATAAATATAAGCCGAAGATGACGTCAAGTCGGAAATAACGCACGCGGGCGCACAAAATGATCATTTCCGTATATATGTTTAATTAACATATATAATTATAATATAAACCGCACACCGGCCGAGAGAGAAAGAGAGAGAGAGAGAGAGAAAGAGAGAGAGAGAAAGAGAGAAAGAGAGAGAGAAGAACTCGTTGCACCTGCAACGAGTGATCGTCGGTAACAGGCCATCGACACCGTGTTTCGCGCATGATTCGTGCTCCCATGAGCGCAGCAACCTGACGCAAGCGGGAATCAGTGGCGGGAAGAGTGGCAGAAGAAGGAGAAAGAGGGACAAAAAAACGCAAAAGACCGATGGAGAATAGAAAAAAAAAACGGTAAAGGAGAAGCCGCCCCGGGTCTAAGTCTAAACCTGTTTTAGAATTACGTTTGGTTCCCACCTACTACTCACTATACCGTTGCAAAAGTAACTCGGACCGACCTTGGCTAGGCAGCCGCCCGAGAATAATAATAGCTGAAAAATCAGCCGTGAATTATGTAACTAAACTAAAGGGTAATGTCGTCCGAACGCGCGCGCGTATGTTTACGAGCAATTGCTTTATTCCGGTTTATCTTTATCGGCTACTGAAAAGAAAATCATTGTACGCGCAACGATTTACAACGACATAAATATGATTATGAATGTTGCGAATAAACAGCGTTACGCCACAAGCGTTTCATCAAAAACTAAATGCATCGATTAATTACGACTTGTAAAAACGTACTTAAAATTTCTTTCTCAGTGCATCAATATGCACATTATCCTTAAAGTAATTTTTTATCTCAAATTCCGCGTTGCGTCGCAAGTTTGGACGACGATGAAACAACGATGTAAATAAATGATCGTTGTATACATTGGCGGTATAAATTGCAATTATGTTTACGGCCGTTTACTCACTATACCGTTCCTCATCAGCGCGCGGTTGATGCACGGAAAGGATGACCGTTGTTCCCGACGAAGCCGTTCGTACGACGTAAACGCGATTATGCAATCGTCCGCGCGCGCATTTTGCACAAAGTAGCAATGCATATAATTAAAGCACACATAGCATTACGGAGATATGCGAACAAGTGCGCTTAGCTGTCAAAGGTCAATCATTACTCAAGCCGAGCGACAACTTGGCGATGAAATGTTTTTCCTCTTAATGTTATAACTAATGTATCACTGATTATATCGAATTGTAAAAGACACCTAGCAGATGAATCATTAAAGAGTGATAAGAAAGAGCACTCACGTGCAACGCAGTGACCGTGAAGGATACGAAGGATTTTATTGTCCAATAAAAAAGTAAAGTCCGGCTCTTTTACGTGGAAATTTAATTGCAAAAAAAAAAAGAGATCGTTGCATCGAAGCCGCCGAATTTACGAGAACTGAGTATAATAAGCCGGGAATATATGGGCGATACGCGGAATAATTAACATAATGTGCAGCGCATTAATGATTCACGAAAGCAAAAAGTTTGTACCTGCGTCGCGCGATAACGTCCCGAAAGGGTATACGAATTTTAATCGCACCTGTACCCCAAAAGACGACCGCACCTGCGGCAGAAGTGTAACATTTTGGAGCGTCTCTCTCTCTTCTCTCTCTCTCTCTCTCTCTCTCTCTCCCCCCCCTCTCTCTTTCTCTCTTTTTTCTTTCCCACTCGGCGGATATGTCGAGCCGTAAGAGAACATTCAACGAGAGGGAAGCCACAAAGTTACATTTACGCCCTAGCCTCGGTTGTTCGAGTTATTGATGGAGCTGCATTAAGGATTAAACTGTCGAGATCGTTATCTTAATTTTGCACGCGATAGCTCCGTAATGCCGATAATCGGCATATCAAACGACTGTGTACGCACGCAGCACCAAAAAGATGAAGATAATTGTCTTACTTATTAATCCGTTCCTCGTAATAATTGCGCGATGCGCCATAAAGGTATGCGAGAATCTTCACCGCGATTTAATATTTATTTCTTATGCGTGTCATGTGTATTATCTACGATGTAAATTTTTAACGGAAGAACCAAATATGATGATTATATCGATAGCTGTAGATGATATTATTCACGCCGTAACATATCCATGAATAGTCAATTTGATTAATTCGAATAGGTTTTTATACTAAAATCTCTATATGTTACATCTCTTTCATTCTAAAATAACAAAATTCTTCTAGTTTGCACATTTCGTCGAAACCTTTCGACAAATTTAAAGTAGACTTTGATATAATTTCAATTTTTGTAATTTACTCACGGATATGTACAGGTACAGATTCAAAAGTTGGAAAGAAATGCGAAAAATGCAAACTCACCAAAAAAGTTGCTAACTGATAAATGGGAAACTTTAATCCTATCCTAAATATAAGCAATAATTCTTATAAATAAATAAAAACAGAAATTATCAGAGATTGGTACCGGTATAATTTCGAGAAACATGTTAAAATTTTCTATATTTTGAAGAAAAAAAAATGTGCACTAATCGTCATGTTTCCACTAACGCAGGTATACATAAAAATCTGACATTGTCGAAATTATGCTGGTTTCACTCTGATTAGAATTAGAAATAATTTTACATTGATCTTTGTTGACTATGAGACTCAACGGTTCCGAACTACCGAGTGGGCTGTCCTTGCCGCTGCCGAGCGGTGGGCTCTTGCTAGGATGTGTCGATTCCAGCAACCGCAACTGCTGCTGATGCAGCCGGTTTTTGATCAGAAAGATCTTCGGCATCGTGCCTTGATGTCGGGAGCGATGCACGACGTCGTCACTCACACTACCACTACATCGAAGTGGTAAGCGAACTCTGCTGCTGTGTACAGTTAAGGTCGCTCACAGCACATTAAAAACACGTCTGTACGGTCACAAAAGTGTCATGCTCAAGAGTACTTAGTGGATGCGAGCAAACATACTGCCAACAAATTTTTTTTTATCTTTCAGTGGTCCCAGATGTGCTGATTCACTATTATCTGTCTCTATTTCACGCTCACACGGGCAATCACCAAGTATTGATGTAAAAATATACACCGCATATAATAGACTGTACATAAATTACTCAGCTCAAACAGAGAGCTTTTTTTCACAAATCCGCTGGCAGGTTCACGATCCAGCGGCAGAAGTACGTCGGAACTCCAAACAGGGTTTAGCCAATCCAATCTTACAATCCAAGTTGTCACTCGCAAATAAACACCAGTTCCTCCAACCGATATTCGTACACTCCAGGTCTATACATGTCCTGTCACTTCCTTCACTGGGCAAATTTACAGTTATCTCGAGCGGTTCTCCGAACAGGTATCGAATCGAGTAAACCCTACCGTGAGGCCTCTCGTGAGCTACTGAGTCCGTGAACACTGAACTTAGTAGTTTGAGGCCCCGTAGTCTTGGCCGCTTCCCTTCCACCCTCCTACACCATCTTCTCTTTCCTTACTGCTTACTGCCTGTGCAGAACGCGCGGACCCCGTTGACTGTCTCTTGCCTCCTACCATTACGGGCACCGAGGTAGGCCCTCCTATTCCCCACCACAGAGATTCCGTGAGCCAGCCAGCGGGACTGGTCTGATCGGTAGAACCCGCAGTCCTCGGAGTCATGAAAATCGCTCCTGTATAACACGCGCATGCGTGTAACGGAGCATCCTAGGAGTGTATCTGAGCGCGTGCATTTGCCTGTGGAGCCACCGTTTTCTTTCTCGTTAGGTGACTACATTGTCTTTTTTCTCCTTCCTCTTCTTCTAGAGAAACTATTCGCCTAGCTACACCTCTTGATCGAATTAGCGTCTTACTGTTGAACTCGTTTCCGGTTAGCCAATTTCTTTCCTCCCGCCCTTCCATCCCTTTCCATATTCTCGTTGAAGAACTGTGAACTAAGCAACCGGAAATTTTGTAATTAATTTACTTGCATATATTACTTTAAAATAAATGCATTTTTTTTATAAAGTATAGATAGAAACAAAGAATAAATAAAACTATCAAAAAATTACACTAGTTTACAGCCAACAATTATTTTGAACCAAACAAGGTGTTTCTTATAGATTTTTGGATGCTGAAAACGATGCCGCAAATTTTACCAGCACGTCAGGTTTCCAAAATAATTGAGGTTTAATATGTAAAAAATGGGTTTTTTTGATATTTTATATTTTTTTGTAAGAAAGGTTAACGTATCTTGAAATTCTGATCAGAAATCATAAATGTATTGTTCATCACCTATAAGATGCATTTTTTTTTAATTTTGATGTCTTACTTTTTAGTCATGTTATGAAGGATTAAAGCTAGGAGCCTCAGGAGCGCGCACGCGTGTCCTCATATTAGAAATAGCTCCTAGCTTTAATCTTTCATAACATGGCTAAAAAGTAAGATATCTCTAATTTTTTTTTATCAAAAAATACTTTTTTTATGAAAAATGGGCATTATAAATTATATCTACGAAGTAACATTAAATTATATCTACGCTATCTCATCTTTTAAGAAATTTTATAGAACAAAAGCATTTACGACTTTCTTTACAAGAAAGATATATGTACGAGATGAAATCTTGAAACGTGTTCAAAATGTCCAAATGTGTAAAAATTTCTTTTCGTGATTTTAAAAGATACACCATATAGATATATGTATATGGTATAATAAAATTTTTACAAAATCGATTAACAAGTAAATCAAATTATAATTTAATCTAGTAAGTAATAGTCATATAATCATACAAATATGCAAGTATTAATCTGGCTGAAAAGATTTTGTTCATATTTTGTGTATCTTTAAATGATTAAATATTGCAAGTAATGATTAAACAAATTTTAACTAATAATTAAACATTGCTAAGTAACGAATACATCACAAAGCACTTATAACAAAATTCCACATAAATTGCTGCGCTCTGTTTTGATCTTTATCTTTTGATTTGGGAAGACATATCAGGTAGGATAGTGTGAAATGTCGTAAAGAAGAAATACCTTTGTTTAATTTTTAAAGATTTCTGTCTCTGCCATACATAAAACATCATACGACGACACACGATAATCTCGGAGCCTATACGATTTGAAACCTGCTCTAAAAGGTGATAAAACAAAAAAAAAATTTTTCTGTTTTATCTTGTGTTGTATCTTTTCGCGCATTTTTGTTCTACAATTTTATTTTATTTATAATTTATAACTTTATTTATAATTCTTTTCTTTATAAAAATTTTTTTTCTTCAAATTTTTCCAGTTTTTAATGTTACCTTATCATTTGTTAAGAATATTTTATTTTCATTAAAATTTGTTTGATCATGAAATCATTGATAAGTTTTTTTTTTGTATTTGTCGACAATCCTTGACATTGAATAAAAAACATTCATAATTCTAAATAGTCTGATCAGTGACAGTAGTACGTGTAGAATAAATTATGTAATAAGATTACGTAAAGGTTGGCTTTATGCATATTTCTAGTACTTCGTGTCAATCCGCGCATATTTTCAAATGATAGATATGTATTTCTTCTAGCATGTGTACATGTTATTAGAAAAATGTTAGAAAAACGATGCTAAGATTGCACGTACATTTGTGCACTTCCCGTTGCGTTCCGCGAATTAGTATCGAATAATTATCAATAGATTCTAACTTCTTTTTCTTAAAGCGTTGCAATCTGATCGCAATTATGAATTATGAATAAGATTATATTAAGAAATAATGTAATGTTTTCCTTTGTATCGAATTTTTTTTCTTCAATTAAATCACGTTTTTATTGGTGTACGTATAGTTTTAATATATATTTACAAATTTCTGTTCAGAAAATGTATTTTGTAATTATATGATTATATTCTGTAGATTAAGAATTGTTAAATTACTCCAAGTAAAAAAGTTAAACTTCCTGTTTAAAGCATTTCATGTTTTATTTGACATTCTAAAAATGACAGGATAAAAATATATATAAAAGCAGTCAAACCCTTTTTGAATACATAGACCTACAAAATAAAAAATCACATATATCTTCCAGTCTATAGCGTAAACCAGAAAAGGGAGCCATTTATTTCCTCGCTTTTAAATGTTCTCTTTTTTAAACAAACTCGCGTTAACTAATTTGCTACTGTAACTTTTCTTCGTCCAAATGTAGTGTTTGAAAAGATAAAAATACCATTGCACCCTTTTTCTGTACCTTTTTTTTTACTACCTTTTTTACAGTTATTTTAGGGCGATTTGAGAAAGAAATATTGCAGGTTCTCTCTACTTTATAATCAAGCTGTGAGAATTATATTCAATATACTCTAAAAAAACAGCTGAAAAAATACATTCCGTCACATACAAATATGAAAGATTTGTAAATCTATAATAATAAAAATTTT